CTATTTGAGAAACAATAGTTTCTTTTCCCCTAAATATCTGATTACTTGTCTCAATTCTTCCCTTTGTTAGTATAGGCAATTTCTATATATTTCCTTTGCCTAAAATTTAAATTTTAGTAGAATTACAGCTCACATTTAAGAGGAAAAAAAACTAAAAACACTTAAATTTCCAGAAAAGGGGTTATTTTGTTTCAGGAGAGATTTGAGTAGTTTATTTTGCCCAGTCAGATTCCTTCAGAATAATGACACATTCATATACATATATATGAACATTTTTTTCAGAAACATATATTATACATTTTTTTAAAATACCAGCTGGACAGGTATTTATTTACAAAAATATTCCATTACCTTGTTTTAATCCTTTTGTTGTAACGACATAGTTCAATTATATGAATTTAAGATAACTATGAAGTCTGACACATTTCAATGTTTGCAACAGTATGCTTGTAGTTTATATGAAACTATACAGACAGATGGATTTGCAACCATATTTAAAATGCATATTCCAATAATTACCTTCAAGACAGCAACTGGGGCTCAGCAAGACCAACTTAAAAAGAAATATCAGTGAACTAAAAATAAAATCTGCATGTACAGTATAAGGTATGCAGAAGCTAGAACTCTACTTTAAGCATGCTTGCCCAGTGAATGGGCTATGGTAGAAAAACTGACTCTTGTTCTTTACCATATTATCTTTTGGTGGTGCTTTTACAATGAAGCAGTTGAATAACTGGAAAGCAGGATGTATCTCTTAGTTCTATTACATTTAGTAGAGGTCAAGCCTAATGTAATATAGTATTGTTTATTTACAAAGAAAAAAATGGATATACTTAGAACACAATATACCCCCTTGCATTGCCTTCTGCTGTTTATTTTCATTTTTCAACGTGCATATCTTAAGCTGAATGTTTTAACCATTCATAATGAAAGTACAATTTAAAAAAGCTAAAGTTTCAAATGAACACAATTCTATCACAAAATTTGTTCCCATTTTAAGTCCTTGAGCCAAAAAACCCACACCAAATTAATACTGATTTATTCATAATCTATACACTATACATTTTCATCAATTATTATCCTCATGTGAAAAATACTGGCAAAACTGACATTCATTATTCCTCTGAGATGTAGTGAAATCAGAAATACACTTACTTGCTGGCTTGGAATATCATACATGAAGGAAACCAAGATATACACATGGGTTTGTGGAGATTGAAACAAATAGCTTACAGGATAGTTTAATAAACTTATTTGACTAGCAGCAGAAAGCAAAAGTTTTAACTATTTGAACTGGGAACAGATTGAAGTGAAATTAATTCTTTCGAAAAAAATACTGTAAGCTTTTCACTTTAATTTTCTTTCCCCAAAACAAATAATTTCTGTCTACAGAATCTGAAACTTCTGTGGCAGTGAAGCACTTTGTGTCCACAGGGAAAATGATCTATGTCACACTTTATAAGAAATTATTCAGGATCAGGAAAAGTTCAATTAACAAAAGTTGTAAATAAACAAACATTATTCTCATACCCATTTTCAAATTCTAAAATACTCAACAATTTTGACATATGGGCAATAAATTTCAACCCAGTGAATAAACCATTTAGATTAAAAAAAGTGCTATACTTTTCAAAATCAAAATTGGAAAAAAAATTTACACAGTAATACTGATTACTAAATACCAAACTGAAAAAAACAAAGTCTATCAACTACAAAAGAAATCTCTTCATTGACAAAAATACATAAACTCTGTTTTAGTTTTTGGAAATTTATTTTAAAAATGCTGAAGAAAATATCTGAAAAACTATTTATATATTATGTATATATATATTTATATTTTAAAACAAAAGTTACGGTAGGCATCCAACAGCAAGCTGCAGCTAGTGAGAAAGATTTTGCAATTAAGTGTGTTTGTGGGTACTCCCCCCCCATAGTAATAATTGAGAATGTTGAAAAGAGGGGTTACAAGAACTATGATATTTTCCTGCCAAGTGTGTGAAAGATTTCTAGTGAAGTACGTTAGATTTTTAATTACTTGTATCTCGATATGAGATACGAATATATTTCTTATTATAAGCGTAAAACATAACTTTTTGTATGGATAATATACATACTTTTTAAGTACTCTGACTTAAACTTAACAAGTTCATCTTTTCTTAAATTAAAGTGTACATATATAAAATTTTCTTTTGAAAACTAAAAGTATATTCTTTAGCAGTATGTATAAATATAACATTATTACTGTATGATCTTGAAACAAATCTGAAAGTGTTGCAGTAATTTCAGACCGAAAATGCTGACACACAGCAACTGGTTTTATATATATTTTTTACCCTTGAAAAACTTTCTCTCAATTGTTTTTAAACTCTTAATCATCTAATATTCAAAAGTAAAACTAGCTGCATGGCTATGATTTTGGTGTGTTTGTACACATGTGCTATTTCATTTGAACTAGGAAATGTGGAAAAATCAAATTATAATAAAAAGTTTCATTGCTTAAAAAAGTGCAGAAAAAAATTCAAGTTTAAATTCATGTAACATCAGTGCTTTTTATTAAGCAAAAAAAAAAAAGTTAAGTCTCTACCACCAAAAAAACCCCCACAAAAAAACCTTTGGATATAGCTTTCTAATTTGTCATGTGAAAAGTGTTTTGAGCAAACACAAATGGAAATACAATACAAATCAGGGTAAAACTTTGAAATCTATGGTGTTGTCCAAATAACCACCCTCCTCCCCATCCCACCCCTGATATTTAAACATATGGAACACTTTCAGACTTGTTGAAAACACACACATATTTACATCAAGTAACATTTAGAAGAATCTACAATTTGACAGAATTAAAAAAAAAGCTTCAGTTGAAAGCATTGAATGTAATTAAACATAATAAGCTACATATAACTGATAAATATGGATAGCTTTTTGGACTCCCATCAAAAACAAAATTAAGAGAAATCAACGATAGCTCCATTGTATCTTTAGCCATTCCTCCCAAAAACATTTAATTTTTTTTATGACCAAAATGCAAATTTAGGGGATTATGACACCCCCTTTCCTAACATCACATAGACATACTATACAGATTTTTTAAAAAACATCAGCAAATACAAGAGCTGTCTCACAAATTCCTTTCCAAGCATGTGTGTGTATACATATACACACACATTATATATAGATATATATGAATGAATTTTAGTTTCGAAAAAATGAGGTGAATTGGGCACATAATACATATAGAAACTATTTGCTTTTTGAGATATTAACCAATAAGTACTTCTGTGATTTTAAAGTTAGGATAGATGAGACAAAGAATAATATTAAGTAAGATGAAAGAAGCACGTTAAACATTTTCATTATTCTGATTCTTTGCTTTACAAACATTTTGTTGTTGTACCTACTCTCTGCCCTTTTTTTTCCCCTTGGCTTGCTTGTAACTTTTTACATTTTTTTAAAGAGAAAAAAAAAGATAAGTAGTTTCATCTCTTAAAAAAATCAACTTCTGTAGGATAATCATTAAGGAATTGTTATGCCTGCAACCTGTTTCCCTCACCAAAGATTAAGTAGAACTAGTACCAAATTTTGTGGGATAATTGCTAAAGAATTGTGATCATTACTACAGGCTGTCTCTCCCACCAAAAACTGAATTAAGTAGATCCCTGAAAAAGTTTCAATATTATATTTAAAAATGTATTTAGCTTTTTAATCTTAAAATGAATTTTTTGTTTGCTACCTGTCGATGACAGATTTAAGAAAAGAAGACAAGCATCCATTTAGGTCATGTAAAATTTAACAAATTTCCTTCAATCTAAAATCAAACAATACCAGTTCATTTTACATATGATAGGTGAACTAACAAATGAAATAATTTACAGACAGAAAATAATCCTGTGGCATATTAAATAGCTGGTATTATTAATCCACACATGTGAGAACTAATAAGATACTTTTCTTAGTGCTTCTTGTCAACTTTTCCAAACCTGCTGTTAACTTTTTTAAACATGGCATATTAACTGTATTTTTGAAAGAGATGTACTAAATATTTTTATGATAACATAACACAATAGTGGGATATAAGAATGTAATACAAATAAATCAATTTGTGAATTATTACATTTTCATCATAGGGATAATATTAAATAGAATAACAAGTTATTCACGAGAGCTCTGTGCAAATTCCAAAAAGCTTTCTGCAGAGAGTGTTGTTTTTGAATTGGTTTGAATCAACTCTTTTATATTATGTCTTTATCAAACGATATTTATAACCGACCTGCATGTAAACGTTTTTTGTCTAGTAGTGCACTTTTCATGAGATGTAAACACAAAAGTCTCATTATGAAATGGTTAAAGAGGGAAAAAAAAGAGATGTATAACAAGCCCTATACAGTTAAGGTATTGTAAAATATGCCTTAATGACCCTATAGTAGGGAAAAAAAATCACTTATGCATACTATCAATTTGTGCTCTATTCCTTAAAGAAAAAATTAAGACAATCATTACTTACAGAACAAAATATTTTAATTTCATGAACATTAATATTAGTGCTCCTATTATGCACTTTTCTTTTACTACTTTAACAGCACAGTTGAGAATCTCACTGTATTAAGTCTGTATTAATAATGTGAGATTGTTTCCAAATCTAATCAGTCATTTCATTCCTGTCCTTAACGCTATACTGGGAAACCAGTACTTAATTTTTCATTGCTGGTCTTATTTGGTATTAGATCCTAGTACTGGACATAATTTAGTTACCAAATGTACATTTTCTTCTCTTTTGGCTCATTAAAATTTTGAAAGGACATGTACAGATTTATAATATATTAATTAATTCTACAGAAAATAGGTCATTGGATAGATTCATATAGAGTTAATTATTAACACTAGATGCTTGGTATTTTCCATGTGATAGTATGTGCAATAAGTTTTAACTGGCTCATCATCTGAGTGTACTGGTAGCAAATAAAGGGTCTTCTCTCCCCTAATTATGGAGCTGCACATTTTACTGAAATAACGAAACCATGTTAGCAATTTTAATTAAACAGATGCAAAGGTACATTTGGTTAAACTTTTTATAAAAAATTCAAGCATAAATTAAAACCTTAGCCAATTTTAACATTTTTACAAATTCAACTAATAACTTTTTGGGTCAAAACTACCATTAGCTAAGTTAACAAGAACAAAAACAACAGACATTGAAGTATTCTCCTCACCACAATGGAGGTTTTTCACTTTTCACACTGCATAGCCATTCTACAAAGAAATTTCCAGAAATATGAGTTCATTCATGTTCTTTACACTTTTCAATGAAAAGTGATTCCTCTCCTTTGCTTTGTTTTGACAGAGTATGGATTGAATACAGGAATACAACAAAAGAGATCCAAGAATAGCCCATCCCCAGGTCAACTATGTTTAACAATAGCCAATACTTTAACTTTGTCTGTCTCAACAGATGGTAGCAAACAGCTTAATTCTTCTTCACTACTGATAATGATGACCAATCCATTCAAGGGAAGGGGGGAAGTTCATGACAGCTGTTAATAGTTCAGTTCAATGATGCAAATATGACCGTTCCAGTTCTAGAACCCCTGATTTACTGTCTCTCCTTAAAAGAAACTCGGCACTGATAGCTGATACAATAGCACAAAATCTCTAGGCATGTGAAATTTTAAGTAAAGGACTGATCCAAGACCACCACTGCCATTTTGTGCCAATTTTCTCTTTTCCTCTTCATGTGTCCTGTGTGACCTGCTCAGTTCTCAAGTTGTTAATTCATAGTGGGGACACACATGGATACTCCAGTTGTATGTGTATGTATTTTAAACACAATGCTCCTCAGTTAAAGCCACATGACTGAGGCAAAACAGTGCATGATTGTGCTAGAAAAGATCCAGTGATGAATACCCCTTCAATTCTGTCTTAAAGAAATTAATGGAAAGAAAAAAGGGATTTCTTCCCCTCTTCTAGACCAAGTTGTATATAACTGGATTCTGGCTTTCAAAACTGGTACCACTTTTTATCTTTGTACTTCAACATCATCTAAAGAGAGAGAGAGAGAGAGAGAGAGAGAGAGAGAGAATAATATATATATGTAGAAAATGGGCAGTAATAAAAATTTTAACTTAAAATTCATTTATTTTTGTTAGTAACACTATTATTAGAAGTTTAAAGTATCAAAAAAGGTTATAAAACTATTGTAAACTATTTTATTCACATTTAGAAGAGTCAAAGGGTAAAGAAGGGAAACATCTAAGATGCATGCTTGAGACAGTACTAAGACTGCTAGGATAGTTCTTAGATAATTTTTTAGAATTTGATGCAAATTCACTTTTTTTAAACCAACCTATGCTTTAAAGATCAGGAGGAAAGAGGGAGTTAGTTAGATTGACATACAAGAAAGGTAACCAGCTTGATTGGGAAGAAAGTATCATGTTTTATGCAGCTCAGGAGCAATGAGGTCTTGCTTAGATTTTCTTCATCTTTTGTCTTCTAATTATCAGAAGTAAAGACTAAGGTATATACATTTCTGAGGAGACACCATAAATAAAGTAATTTCTTCTGGGCCATGGCAGGGTACAACTTTTATTCAGCTAATTACCTAATTAAAGAGACACTTAGAGGGCATGGGTCTGAATAGAGGGACTTTTCAACAGAAATTATATGATAAACATAAATACCTCTACACCTCTAAAAAAAAAGAAAAAAGGTTATACAATACAATTGGGAAAAAAGCAATACCCAGTAACTCAAGATCTCCACTCACCCCCAACTTCTCCAATGTACTTGAAAGAGCTTTGGCTTCACAGAAATATAAATTATTAATATTTAGAATCAGAACTATTTGGAACTATCTATTCCCAAACTTCTAGTAGCTGCAGTATATGAACCTTCAGTCTTAATGCAAGTAAAACACGGGAATATGAATGGAAATTCCTGATTCTGGAGAAATAAAACTGTAACAAGTTTGGAAGTATTCCTGAGGTGAAGAATAACACTTTGAGAAATTAGGGATAAATACCAGAAAGGTAAGCCATCTTCTACTGACCACTGTAATATCCTTTACACAGGAAGTATTCAATAAATGTCTGTTGTTGATATATGTATTCATTCTCACCATTATATTGTATTGCTTTTGTACATATTTTGTATATGCTTATTTGTAAATAGTCTGGGCCCCCCCCCCTCCCCGAACTTTCCCTACAACCTCACCCAAGAACTTCTGAAGGGCAATGATTGTGTCATTTTTGTTATTGTATCCACAGACCCAAGTATAAAGCCTGGTTCAAGGCAATGATTAAGAAGTCCTCTCTTATTGATTCATCCAACAAAAATTTGATTGCATTCTTTTATTTGAGGTACTATGACAAACTCTACTGATTCAGTAGTATATTATTCAGTCATAAGATGACTGAAACAGTAGAGATCAAACAGTTTTGATGCTCTGTAGTCAGCTACTGTTTCGCATATAGCTTTAAAGCCTTACAAGCTTTAATAACTTGTAAATTCAACTAGAACACTAGGTTTACTTACACGTTATAAAATAATAGAGAAATAAAAGCAGGAAGAAGCTTCTTAGGAAAAGTTCTTGTTAAATGTTTATTCTGGACATATTTCTTTAGGTGGCATGCAAATGAGGCAACTCTAACCTAACCTATTTGAACAATGTACTGAAGCTAGAAAAAGAGAAATTCACAAAAGAAAAGACACTAACACAGACTATTATCATTTCCTAGGTAAACTTAACTGACGTAAATTAGTCAGTACAACAAAGAAATCAGAATCAAAAGCTTGGAAACTGTCTTACCCAACAAACATTACATCTATTTTCCAAATAGATAAATGTAACAGAAAAGGGAAAAACCGATTTAGACCAGTGGAATCAAATCCAAATAGAAACATGGTCCACTAAACCATGCATAAGGAACCCTATGAGCTGCATACTGACTTAGAGAACCACATATTAACATTATTCATGTTTTATTGTATTTTTATTTATTTTGGGCCACACTCCAGAAAAAAACGTATGATGAAAAAAGGTGAACTGTTTGTACCCCAAGAGAAAGAGATAACTTATGGACAACCTACATGTTCTTTGGTATCTAAGTAATGTCAAAAGTAGAAAGTGCCCTAGAATATTGGCTAAACTTCTCCAAAAAAGACTTATAGGAGGGCATGGCCAAAAGTCAGACAGGATGAGAGGGTATGAATGGACTGTAATTTGTAATACTGGAAGATGAAATTATAGAGGCATAAGGCAAGCTCTAAAAGTGTTTATTCATACAATGAGAAGTTAGTATTGTGAGTCTAAGTTCTAGAATATAAGTTTATAGATATATAACACCAGAATACCATCGACTGACACATGAAAATGAATCTGCACAAAGAGTCTGAGAATCATGCAGACACAGAATTTTGGATATGGAAGGGCTTTTATAGATTATTTAGCAAAACCCTCTCACTTTACAGATAAAGAAACTGAGGCTTAGGGTGCTAATATATCTGGTACTACTAGTGTGTTGGGCTAGATATGCAGGAGCCAGGATTTCCTGATACCTAGTCCATGGCTCTTTTTATTTGAGTAAATAGTAACCTGTTATATTCAGTCACAGAAAAACTTCATTTCTGGAGCTTTTCTTTTAGTCAATATATTTTTGCTAGGCATACCTCATGAGCATGTTTAGAAAATGAATCTGCACTTGATAGCATAGCAGCTGTCCTTTCTTCAAGATCACCAAGTTTCTGTCCTCTTTCATCCAGTGCCAACCTGGCTCGAGCCAGTTCACCAACTACACCAGATGCTGCTCCTTTAACACCTTCAATACCACCAGGACCAGGGATGTGTTGAGCAAGACTCCTGGATGCCTTTCCAGATGCTGACTCTCCAACTGAATATATTCAATGATAAGATAACAATTAAAAAAAAAAAAGAAAATTCTCTTGTAATTCAAAATTCCAAACAATTTATAATAATTGATAATATAATATAAATAACATTTACATCAAGTTTAAGGGTGTTACAATTTTTTAAAAAATTAGTATTTACATTTAACATGAAATATGTGAACGGTCCACTGATACTTTTTCCAATATTCATGTAAATTCATTACACTGGCTAAATTATCCTAGTAGTAGATGTTTTGAAGCAAGTATACTGAAAAAGACTCTTTGATAATAACAATCTTACTTAAGTACACAAAATTCAAGTTTACTTAATTAAAAGGGGTATAGATAGAAAAATATGGAAATGGCAAAATTTTATTGTACTGCACAACTTCTCTATCAATGATTTATTTTACTTCCTTTATTTTCAGTCAAATCCATCAATTCACAACAAACTAGAGGATGTCCAGAGGACAGCATCCAGGTTGGTCAAGGGCCTTGCCCTTGACTCTTTCATGAAAGCTAAAAGAACAGCATGTTTAGCCTGAAGAAAAGAAGACTCAAGAAGGATGTGATAGCTATGATTAAACATCTGAAGGGCTCTCAGGTGGAAGATAATTTAAATGTTTTCTGACTGGCATCAGAGGACAGAAGCAGGAGCAGAGGTAGAAGTGACAGAGACAAATTTATGCTTGATATATAGAAAAAATTTCCTAAAGATTAAGGTTTCCAAAAATGTCTTTCTTAAACTGTAGGCCCCAAAACTGAACACAATATACCAGATATGATTTAAACAAGGCAGAATACAGAGGAACCATTGCTTTCTTATTCTGGAGGATTTCATACATTTAAGAAAATTTTATATTACTCAAATGTTTTCTTTTGGTGATTTTTTTTCTAAAATAAAAATAAATTAACTTACAGAGTTCTTCTCTGTCAAGGGACTGTGCACCACCTCCAAACAAGCCTTTAAAAAATCCCCTGTTTGGTGCTTCAGGTGTTTCTACTGGAGTGAAGAGTTCACCTAACATTTCCTTTAAAATCAAAATATATTATAATTGTTAAAAGGTACATGAAAATCCCTAAGTGAAAAATAAAGCAATTCCAAAAAGCATTAGGGTATATTTTCAGCTTAACCTTATAATAAAGGATTTTAAAATGGATTGTGTAAGTACATATTAATTAATGAATTGGATGAACAAAACTTTATTCTAGAGATGTATTCCTAAAAAGTTGGCAAAATAAAGTATATTTCTCTAAGTTGAATCATATTTTTCTTACTGAATTTCAATATAAAATGGTATATACATTTAAATACTGCATTTTATCCCCAGCATATAAGCAAAAGTTGTAGCTAACAAAGTAACTCTTAAAATCATGTTCAAAAAGGAAATAAAACTTTCCAATAAATATGGCTTGTTACAAACAAAATGCAAACACTGAGAGGTGACTTGAAGCAATGGAGAAAAGCACTGGGAATCAATGAGCCTTAGTTATACTATAAAGGATCACTGATTTAGGAGTTTTAGAAAACATTACTGATTTTAGGTACAGAATGGAACGTATGACTTCTGAGGTGATTTCCAACTGTGAACTTCTAGGATTTTATGACACTGAGAAATAACTTCATCTCTAAACTATACTTTTCTTATATGCCAAATGAAACTTCCAGCTCCGAGCTTTTATAATTCTACTGCTTATTCACCTGATACCTGGCCTTTGATATCTATTCTACTAGAGATTCAATCTTTTATTCAGAGTGCAAAAATTCCTAATTATTCAAATATCATCATTCATGATAATAATTAGCCCAGCTGACAATAGGAAATAAAAAAGGAACTAATAAATACAAATAAGTACAAATAAAAGCATAGCAGGAAAAAAAGAGTTGTAGAATGCTATGTATTTTCCTCAGCAATATCTAAGTGATATCAGTATCTCAATACTAGAAGCATAATGTATTTACATAGCAATGTCTTAGCATTCCTCTCTTAAGGGGAGAGAACAAGTTAGCTTGCTTTGGGAACCTGGAGGAGGGCAGAGTGTGGTTAACAGGGGATAAGGCCGACTTCCCACTGTCAACTACAAAACCTGAGGATTTTTCTTGAGTGTGCATAAGCCAAGAAAGCAAATTAGTAAAGGCAAAAACAGCTATAGAAACCTTGACTGAGAAACAGCATATTCCAACATTTATAATCAGTTTCAAATGTCAGGAAGTAGATCAAATTTCTTTCTTTTTCATTTTCTTAAGTCTGAATTTCTAGTTATCAGATTTCCATAAGACAGGGTAAATCAGGAATAAAAAGGCTTTCCAAATATACTGCTAATTTCTAAAATCAAAATTTAAATATACGGTAGACTATACTAAAGTACAATTCATTTTAAGATTATTCAATCTTTTCCAAGTATTATAAATATGAGTAACAACTATAAATATGAGTAAGCTAGATTTACAACTAGCTTAAACAGCTACAATTCAAATTAAAATGGGATGTTTCCATTTTTAACTTTTAGTTTTGCAAAATCTTTTTTTTCCCAATAATTTCAGATACATGACATTGTTGTGGGCCTCAACCCTATGAGAGGTCTGAGGAGCTATATTACACTATATTATCTTTGCTGTTCCCAGCAGTACGTTGGAAATACTTTAAGGACAAAACATACCTTGTAGTACTTAAGAGTACAGAAACAGAAAAAAAAAATCTACTTACTCAAGTAACATGAGTAAAAAATAAAAGTGGGTAACCCTGCTATAGAATCCCAGAGATGGAATTAAACATAAAGACAGATAATCTCATCCAACTATTTATCTGACAAATGAATTCACTGTACAATATCTATCACAAGTGACCATCAAGGCTCTGATTGAACCCCTCCAGTGACAGGAAACTTACTGTCTACTAGACAGCCCATTCTATTTTCAGACAGCTTTTGTTAGGAAGTTCTACCTGAAACTGAGCCAAGATTTGTTTTTAGTGCAGCTAAGACTAATTTTGTCCTCTGAAGCCAAGGAGATTATATCTAATTTCTCTTTTATGGTATTCTTTCAAATATTTCATGATAGCTACCATTTCCTCCATATCTCTGCCAACAAGCCATCTTCTCCAGGCTAGATATACCCTTCCTCATATACATGCTTTTGAGTTCCCTGGTGATCCTGGTTGCCATCCCCTGGGCATACTCCAGATTGTCAAGAACTATCTTTAAAAAGAGTAGCAAGAATTAAACACAGTATTACATATAGGGTCTGACAAATGTAAGGTAGAGTAGTGCCTACAGGATTGTAGTGCAGCTAAAATAAACCTTAAAATGCTACACAAAAATGTCAGGTATCATTTTTATTTTGATCCAGTCATCCAACAAACAGGTAAGTTATCCCTTCCAGCTTTACTTCATTTGAAAATTTGATACTTTCCAACCACTTTCATCCTGGTCATTTCAACAAAAAGGCTGAATCGGGCAAAGCCAAAGACTAAGATCACCCACACAGATCTTTTTCTGTGTTTACTGGGTGTTACTGAGTCAGAAATCTGGCCAGCACACTCTCTCTCCTCTGTTTACTGCTTACACCAGTGTTTGGAGTGATAACACATGGAAAGCTTTAGTTATAATCAGACTACAGAGAATAATATGGGTCAGGACCCTGATCAACTGACTGCTCTCCTAACCAATGGATGGCAAGGTTACATTTCTAACTCTTTCAGAGCTTATATTCAGTTATAGTCTCAGAGATTTGCCTAGGGGCACTGAAAGGTTAAGTGACTTGCCCATAGTTAGCTTATGGCAGAGGTAAAATTTGAACCCAAATCTTTCTGACTCCAAGTCTTTTTTCACATAGTACTCAAAAGATGGTGTGCTATGTCTGAGCAGGACACAAAGCCAGAGGAAACTATGGTGGAGGTCCACAGCAGTTCTGATATGCAAAATGATCAACCATTCTGGAAATAGGTAGAAGATACTAATCAAAACACTTAGTAGATAGTTTTATCTGAAATTTCCCTAAGGATACATGCTCCTCTTGCCCCACTGTTCAGAGACAGGGGAAGTAACTGATCTTGTTCCCATATGCCCCAATTTTACTTCTTCCCTGAGGAAGTTGGTATCTCCTCAGGGACCAGAATTTGCCTATGCGCACTCCAGCACCTATCACCACATCATTTTATCCAGTAAATCAAATTAATGAGCTCAATCTATTCTCTGACTTTGAATGGGCAAAAGCTTGGTTCAATGACATGGTGGTACACACAGAAAGTAAATGCCTATTGGAATATACGTATTAATAAATGGCAAATACTGAAAGTGAAAACAAAGTAATATCAGGAAGATAAAGGCACCAATAACTTGAGAGAAATCAAGAAAGGCCTCAGGATAGGGGGGAGCACTTAAGGTGGACCCTAAAGTAAATAGGACTTTAACTGTCACAGGTGAGAAGGGACTGCTTTCTACTCTAATACTCTATTACAATAATTAGGTATTTTAAGCTCAGGGGCCATGACTCTTAAGGATTGGTTGCCCTCTTCTATTTTGGTGAAATGTTATGAATTTAATCACAATCATTCCAAGCCCCTAATTAGGAAGATGCCTAACATTTAAGCAGAAATTGAGCACTCTACTTTTAATTTTCAATTACATCTTCTTCACTGTTTAGGCAATTCAGGTTACAACAAAAGTTTGGGAAACAAAATATCAGATTATGTCTTATTGTCTGTGGAACCAGAGGAGAAAGGGAAAAGAGTTGACCATTATTTAGGATACCTCTCCATTGCTGAGTAGGAAGATACACTCGTGGCATCAGCCTGAGCCTTTTGACCTGGGATGCCTATAAGCCTATGGTCCTCCTTGATCCCTTTTCTAGCATAGTTCCATCCTATCTTCTCTTTCTCCTTTTGCTGGTTCTCCCTGAGCTGCTGGTTCTTTCTGCATCAGTTCTTGATGACCCTGTTCTTTGCTCTCTGCCTGAAGATTCTAAGAATCTTCATCTGGTTTTGAAATAGCTCCTCTTTTTTATGCAAGTTTATTAGAGTGTAGCTAAGTTTCTAGGCTGATTCAAATTGGTATATAGGCCCAGTTCCCAACTGTTTGTGGTTGATTGATTTAATCAAGAAGTAGTCTTTTAAGTGGAATGGAATAATCAATGGAGACCCATCCTTATAGCAGGAATGAGGGATAGCTCATGCAAAGGCATGGAGATGTAAGATGGAAAGCTTTGTACATATAATTACAAGTAGGCTAGGTTCACTGGAATGTAAACTTTTCTTGCTTTTACCTCATTTCTTCTTTTTGGAGTTCTGAACTTATTATTAACCATTGAAATTATATACTGTCTTCTACTCTTCAATCTCTTGATCGCTTGACTTACCACAATTCATGAACTGCCAATCTTCACCCTGTATTCACTCCTACCATTTGCCTTTTCCACACCTATACCTTTATTGATAAACATCACTGGGGAAATTTGTCACATACATCTGTGACAAAGGGTTTCCTACAAATTCATTTGAGATAATCTCAGCTAGTATATAGTGATTTTCACATTCTTCTCTTACTATCACAGCAGTTCTTTTAAACTCTCCTTCTCAAGCCCCCTATACCTCCTTTACACCCTTCTTTCTCAGGAGAGGAATTTACCTAATTTACCTCTTTATTAGCTACTTGTATCTATACTATTTCACATGTCAACATCAATGTGCATTCTCATCCATTCTTAACTCTGCTGTAGGTTCTGAGGAAGAGGTAAACTTCTACCTTGTTAAGGCTCATTTCTTCACATGTATCCTTGATTTCAGCACCTCTGAAAGCTTGCCTCAAGGATCAATACTTCTCATCTTCAATATTTTCCCCTACTATCTATAAACATACCTAGGGTTTTCCCATTAAAAAAAAATAAACAACAAAAACCTTCATTTGATGGTACCATTCCATCAAACTATTGTCCTATATCTTACTTCTCTGTCAATCTCAGCTTCCTAGGAGTCAACTTCCTCATTGCCTGCTTACTTTGAAACATCTTATAATTAGACTTCTTCACTCACTA